TTTGGGGTGCAGGGATTTGGGGTGCAGCTCCCTGGAATGCAGCTCCCTGGAATGCAGCTCCCTGGGGGATCCCAGCCTCGGGGCACTGATGGATCCTCGGGGCACTGATGGATCCCTGTTCCCTCTTCTCTTCCAGAGCAAAAGCAACTTGAATCCAGATGCCAAGGAGTTTGTGCCGGGTGTGAAGTACTGACAGGCCAGGCCTGGAGAGAGACTGAATCCCTGCTCCAGGGAATGCCAGGGGATAGAGGGGGGACAGCCCGGCTGGACTCGGCGCCGGGATCTGCTCCAGCTTCAAGTACCTGTTTTTTTCCTCCTTTATTTTTTTTTTTTTTAACACTTTGTATCGTCCCATCACCTTTTTTTGGCGTTTTTTTGCTTCCTGGGACGTGTGGCCCTTTGGGCCTGTCCTGGATTCCAGCCTCCCCCTGCTCCAGAGGCCCATTCCTGCGTGTGCTTCAGCCCTGCTAGTGGGAAAATCCTGGGGAAATCCTGGGAACATCGGGTGTGCTTGTTTCAGTAGGATTTTTAGGGCTCCCCTGCCAGCAGCCAGCCCGGGCTGGGAGCTGCACCGGCCTTCCCTGATTCCCTCAAAGCGGATTCCTTCACTCCAGGTGAAGTGCACTGAGCTGTGATCCCGAAATTCCTGCAGGCAGGAGCTGCCCTGGCTCCACGATGGAAGCTGAGCACTCATTCCCACGTTCCCGTGCTGGCAGGGGGGTCCTTCCTGCTCCAGCAGTTCTGGGGGTGCTCAGGGGGGCCCAGACCCCTGGGAAGGGCAGCTCCTCCCAAACTCCCCCTTAGGGAATTCCCTCCCCAGCTCTTGAGCTCATCCAGCACTACAGGCCGTGGCTCTGAAGCCTCATCCTAATTCCTCTGGGATATAAATCCGTTCTTGGCACAAGGTGAGGGGGGTGTGGAGCAGCTTCCCTGGGGGAGGAGCGGGATCCTCCTTTGGGATGAGCCTGAGCCCCGAGGAGCCCCCAGGAGGGATGTTTTTGGGAGGGGATGGGCAGAGCCTGGTGCTGGTCCCTTTTCCAAGGCTCTGGTGCTGCCTTAGGGCAGAGCCCCTGGAGCAGCTGTTGGAGCAGGATCCATGTCTCCCTCAGCTGAGCTCCTGGGAACCTCCTTCCCCACCCATGGGAGCTGCAGCTCCCAAACCACGGCCCTGGGCACTTCCAGGGGTCTAAAATCATGGGCTTCACGGGACCCTTGGGAGAGCTGGGGCTGGAAATCCCCATCCAGGGCAAGTGGGAGCTCCTGGGGGTCAGGAATCCTTGTCCAGGGAATACAGGCGTGTCCCAGGGCCAGAAATCCCTATCCAGAGAAAGCAGGAGCTCCTTGGGGTAGGAAATCCCTATCCAGGAAAAGTGGGAGCTTCCCAGGTCGGAAATCCCTGAGAAAGCAGGAGGTTCCCAGGGTCAGAAATCCCTATCCATGAAAAGTGGGAGCTCTTTGGGGTCAGCAATCCCTGTCCAGGGAACACAGGAGCATCCCAGGGCAAGAGATACTCATCCAGAAAAATCAGGAACTTCCTGGGGTTGGAAATCCATGAGAAAACAGGAGCTTCTCCAGGTCAGAGATCCATATCCAGGGAAAGTCAGTGCTTCCGAGCTCAGAAATCCATGAGAAAGCAGGAGCTTCTCCAGGTCAGAGATCCATATCCAGGGAAGGTCAGAGCTTCCCAGCTCAGAAATCCATGAGAAAGCAGGAGCTGCTCAGGGCCAGAGATCCTTATCCAGAGAAACCAGGAACCTCCCAGGGTTGGAAATCCACGTCTGGGGAAAGCAGGAGCCTCCCAGGGTCAGAAATCCCGATCCAGGGGAAGTGGGAGCTCCTTGAGGCCAGAAATCCCTATCCACGGAAAACGGGAGCTTCTTGGGGTCAGAAATCCCTATCCAGAGAAACCAGGAGCTTTCTGGGGTTGGGAATTCCTATCCATAGAAAGTGGGAGCTCCTGGGGGTCAGAAATCCCCCGTCCAGAGAAAAAGGGAGCTCGTCAGGGTTATAAATCCATGGAAAGCAGGAGCTCCCGATCCAGGACAATTAGCACAGTTCCCGCTGGATGAGCCGCTGCTCATCCGTGTAAATCCCCCTCCCGGGCGTGGTTCCTCCCCCATTCCCGGCCCTAAAGGAGCCGCTAATGGATCGGGACGGGGATCCTGATGGCCATTAACTCGTGGGGCCGTCGGACCGTGAACAGGGCTGAGCCCACGGAATTCCCAGCTCCCGGTGCGCTCCGGAGCCCCCCAGTTCTCCCAGCTCCGGCTGCGGGGCTTGATCCCGGCGGAGCCACGGCTGGAACCGGCAGCCCTGGGCGAGCCCCATCCAAATACCCCAGGCTGGGGCGAGCTCTCCCCTTTCCCGGTGCCTCCAGCGGCCGGAGGCTCCCCCCGGCTGGGCAGGATGGGATCCGGGGCAATGGGATGGGCAGCGGGAACCGGGATGGGCAGCGGGACACCGAGCGAACCCCTGGAGCGATCCCACACTCCCCCCTTCCCTTTTCCCGGTTTCCCTTTGATTTCCTACTCTTTCCCTCCTCCCCCCCCCTCCACGTGCTGTAAATTTCGGACAAGGCGTTATCAAAAATAAACTTTTTTTGGAAGGGAGCGGGGCCAGAGTTTTCCCTGGAAAACCGGGGGAGGGGTCTCCATCCCCCGGCAGCTCCAGCGGGGCCCCCGCAGGGCGGTTTGTCTGCCACCCCCATCCCAGCGACCCCCGTCATTCCCACTTCGGGCGTTAGATGGCTCTGCTGCCATCCCTGATTTCCTTTGGCTCTGCTGCCATCCCTGATTTCCTTTGGCTCTGCTGCCATCCCTGATTTCCTTTGGCTCTGCTGCCGCTGCTTGGAGCCGTATCCCTGATTTCCTTCGGCTCTGCGGAGCTGGTTGGAGCCCTGTCCCTGATTTCCTTCGGAAAATCTCCCGGTGGATTTTCCCCCCCCCCCGCCCTCCCCTCCCTGCGCTGGCACCTTTTTGGGCAGTTTTGGGGTTGTGCTTTGGGCCGGGCACAGCTCCCTCTGCTGATCCCAGGCAAAAATAACCCGAAAGGGCTTTTCATCCTTATTTTTCCCTTTCAAAGCTCAGCCCCGAAGGCTGTGGGAGCAGGGGCAGGACCGGCCCCCGCAGCTCCGTGTCCATTCCCTGGTCACGGGTGTCACATCCCCTGTCCCCACCTCCCGGGTCCCCTCGGTGCTGGCAGGGCCCAGAGGTGTCATCCTTCCTCCTCTTCCTCTTCCCTCCCTTTCTGCTTGGGATCCAGCTGCTCCCTGAGCCCCAGCGCCTCCCCGGCAGGCTCAGCACCCCATTCCCATCCCATTCCCATTCCCATTCCCATTCCCATTCCTATCCCCATTCCCATTCCCATCCCCATCCCCATTCCCATCCCATGGCCATGCTGCAGCCCGGCCCCCTTGGGCACCAAAGGGGAAATGAAACAGGAACCTTCAGAGGTTTCCCAGCAGCCCCCCCTTGGCTCGGGGGGTTCCCACTCCCAGCAGGGCTGAGCTGGGGACAGTTCCTGTCCTGTGGCTGCTGTTCCTGGCCCCACACTTCCAGCCCCAGGCCATCCCGTCCCATTCCCTGCTCTCCCAGCCCCATCCCGGCCTCCAGCCCCATTTTTCTCCAGCCCCACTCTCTCAGTTCTATCCTGCCCCATCCCTGTGCTTCCAGCCCCACGTTTCCATCCCCATCCTGCCCCATCCCCAGTCTGAGCCCCATCCCACTCCATTCCCTGCTCTCCCAGCCCCATCCCGGCCTCCAGCCCCACTCTCTCAGTTCTATCCTGCCCCATCCCCATGCTCCCATCCCCGTTGTGCCCCATGCCCACACTCCCAGCCCCACCCTGCCCTATCCTGCCCCATCCCTGTGCTTCCAGCCCCATGTTTCCATCCCCGTCCTGCCCCATCCCCACAGTCTCAGCCCCATCCCCACAGTCTCAGCCCCATC